AATATTTTAAAAGCAGAATTGTACTTTATATAAAATCTCAATTAAATATTCAATAAAGATAGAGGCATGGCCTTATCATTAATATTAAAAAAACAAAAAAACAAAAACAAATAAGAGTAGTAACAAATAAGAGTATATAATATTTAAGATAACAGTTAATATAACATCTAAATAATTAATATGATTAACATATAATAGAAATTTGTATAAATTTGTTAAGACTAAATTAGTAATATTGAGTTTTGTTTAAAAATAGATAAAATAAAGTTAAATTTATATAAATAAATTAGTAATTTTAATTACTAAAAATAATCTACAGATCTAGAATATTCTAAAGTGTTAAAGTTTTCAAAAAAATTTTTTTTAGCAAAAATTTAAAATTTTTTTGTATAAATGTCTTAGAGTATTTTTATTATAAACTGTTAACTTTTAATTATAAATAAAATATTATATATTAAAATGAAGAAAAAGTATGCTAAGTTTTTTATTCTAAATATCTACTATAATTTACTTAGTAAAATATCAAGTATTTAACAAGAGAAAAAAATTATTTAATTTAGTTATATTTCTGTGATAAAAGCCTTTAGAGATATAAAAATAGACTGTTTATATATAAATTTTATAAGAAATAATTTTATTTAGATAGCCAAAATAGATTTATTTAATAAAAATTTAAGAAAAGTACAATTTTGTTTAGAGAAAATTTAGTACAAGTGATTATTAGAAAGAGTTAATGATTTGCAAAATTTTACTAATGTTTTGTTTTTTATATTTCTAATATTATATATTTTTATTAAATAATATCCACAAGTTTTAAAAAATAATAATAGTATATTATAATTGTTATTCTTTTTAATTAAAAATTTAAGATGTTTTAAAGAATAACTTATAATATTTTGAATTTATTATATTTAAAAAATTATAATTATACAGTTAAAATTTATTTTTATCTATTTGTTATCTTTTTTGGTTTTTTTTTTTAATCAATTTATATACTTGTTTTCTTTTAATATTGTTTTTATATATTATAGCTTTAGGAATGTGGTAACTTAGTAAAATAGATAGATTGTTAACCCTCAAATGGCAGGTTTAAGGTTCAATTCCTACATATGATGAATTTTGGAAATTATATCTATGTTATAATAACTGTCTCTTATTAATCAGTTGGGTTTATGTATCTATAATCTTAGATATACCAGATTGGGGCCCATCTAATTTTGGAAGCTTAGGGCATTTATGTAAAGTATAACATTACATATACATAGAAGAATATAAAAATCATTGTCATATAAGGCTTCAGTGCAAATCTGTGATAAGACTACTAGGTATAGAAAACTAAGAAATCAAGAAAACAGAAGCCTACTTGAAAATTATGAGTAAAGAGGTAGCACAAACTTTCAAGAATATTGTTAGACTAATGAAAGTCTATGAAACACCTTCATAGGAACTGTTAGATGGACCAGATGACAAAATATATAAAGGAACACATAATTAACCAGATTGCCAAAATCATCAGAGGAAAAGGATATATAAGCATACTATACTGGGTTATCTGGATTGGAAATCTGAAGAGTTTGTTGTTAGTTCCAAGATGTGACTAGTAAGAAATAATGATAAAGAAGTCAGAAAGATAGGTACCAGAGTTTGAGTAAACTTTACAAAAGTAATAGCAGTTTAATAAGTAACTTTGACTGCAAGTATTGGTTTTGACTATAGCATCAAATTAGGTTAGTAGTAAAAGAGAATACAGCTCACTCTGGTAGGTTGCCTTAAAGATAAAAATAGTCTAAAGATTATAGTTCTATAGTTAGAAGCAATCAGATTTAGATCTGTAATCTAATAAAATTAATACTAGAATCAGATTAGAGGGTTTAAATAGAACATCTAAGCAAAGGTGTTAGGTACAGCAACTGGTAGAGAACCTCTGGATGGATTTCTTAAATAGGTAATATAAAAAAGTTACATATATAGCCAGTTGTACACTCATCTGATAGTTCAATATGAATATGTCTATATAAAACATATACTTAACATAAGTATTAATAAAAAGCTAGGACCAAAGAGATCATCTTAATACTGAAAAAAAAAATATATATTATAGCTTTTCTTGGATTATATTATCTTTCAAATTATATATTAGTATTTTTACTAATATAAGCTATTTGTATATTCTGTTTGTTAAAGTTTAAATGCTTGTTTTAATAAAATATAGTTTTTTCTTCTTGTTATATTTGTATTTTTTCTTATTTTTTTGTATTACTTTTGTTTTTTGTCTATTAATAATATTATTCTCTTTTGTGTTTTCTTTTTTCTCTTCTTTTATTTTTTTCATTTCTGGTTTTTATTTCTTTTATTACATTTGTTTACATGTTCTTATATTTTATAACAATTTTGAATTCTTGTATTTTGTTTTTTTTTAGTTATTTTTTCTAGTTTTATATACAAAAAAAAATTAGCTAACTTTGGGTTCAGACTTATGCTTCTAATTCTCTTAATGCAATCTTTAATAATTTTACTTTGTAATTATATACTTTTTGCTTTTTTAAAGGTTGCTATTATTTGTTTATACAATAATAAATCATATACTGTAATTTTATAAATATCATCTCAACTGGGATGGGGTCCCGTAGCCTAATGGTCTAGATGCCCCTTCCTTTACAGACAAGGTCGACAGTTCAATTCCAGCTAGAGACAAAACTCTGTAATCTACGGAAGCATATAAATGTACGCGAAGCCCTGTGGCTTAAGTCCATGTGAATAGAAGATCGGTATATAAAAAAGTTCCTGAAAAGAAGTTTCCTGATATGAAGAGTTGGCGCTCGATGCGAGAGAAGTGGTGAACATACCAGAAATGGAGAGAAGGCGCACTAGCGAGTAATACGATAAACATAAAAGGAAACTATGGGAAAGAAATAGACTTACTGAAACTTGAACACCTCTGGTACCAAAACTGGTTTAGTGGATATGGGATACACTAATATGGATAAAATCTAAGGGAGGTAATCTTGATACTATACTTAGTAAGTCTGTGTCAAGAGTAAATTCAAAGGACTATGAATACTCGGTAACATCCAATAAGGTGGTACCTTGATATAAATAGTAATTAGATAGCCCTAACCTGGTATGTCCATGTAGTAATGAAAGGTTGTAATGCATAGAATTAAAAATCAGAAAGTTTAAATAGGGGATTCATAGGCAGATCTCAGATATGGTAGCTAGTGGGTAACCCTCAGGTGGAACCCTTAATTAGATAATGACTAAAGTTATATGCGTAGCTAGTTATACTTTTGTTGATAAACTATGTATTCATTAATAACTAGATATTACTCAATAAAAGACAGACAGGCAAGATTGCCACTTATAAAACAAAAAAAAAAAAATAAATATCATCTCAACTAGGTTTTTTGTTATTGGTTTTATATTATCAAGACTTAAAGACTTTGCTGCATTTAAAACCTTTACTATGAGTTTTTTACTATTTATATATTTAATTACTCTTGTTTTATAGCTATTAACATACTTGAGCAAACTTTGTATTTGTAAAATTTCTATATATTTTAAATCTTTTTTTAATTTGTTTTTATAATCTTTATTTGTTTGTTATACATTTTATTTATTACTAAATTTGTATATGTTTATATTTGTTTACTTTTTTTATTAATTATATATTACTATTTGTTATTTTCAGAATTAATAACAAGGTGTTGTAACAGTAATTTTTTATAAAAACAAGAAAAATTTTAATATTTTAGAATTTTTGAAGATTTAAATTTATTTTAATTATTATATCTCTATACTATATTTATATATTTAGTCTTTTTATTATTTTTTTTCTTATAACACTTTTGTGTGTTTTCTATACTGTTTTTGAGCTATTATTAATTTTGTATTTTTTTTAAACTTGTAAAAAAAGATTAGTAAAAAAGTTTTTTTGTTTGTTTTTTTTTTTATTTTTCTTAATTTTAAATATAATTTTACTAAGTAAATTAAATATAAAACTGTTGAATTAAAATAGATTAAACAAATATATTATAAGCTAAAACAAAAACTTTAAGTTTATTTAATATAATTAATCTTTTTACAAAAAAAAAATAAATACTCAAACTATTAAAAAGTATTGTAAAATTATACAAAAAATTTTAAATTAATTAAATTACTTGTATAATAATTTACAAACTTAGAACAAACTGAAATAATTTTACAACACAAATTTAATTAATTGTTTTACTATAAAGTTATTGTTATGCTTCAAACAACAGATAAAACATATCCCTATTAATTTTAGATTTTTGTTAACCAATTTACTAATATTATTAACAAAATTATTATACTTTCTTATTAATATCTTATATATTTAATTTAAAACTTTAAATATTTAAAAATTTGTTAAACATATGACTAGTGCTAATACTATACTATATATCAAAACCACTTATTTCTAAATAATATAAAATAGTTACATTAAAAAGACCCATTTAGTAATATAACCAATTTTCGAGTTTAATAAATTTTGATTTTCGGACTGAGCAAATTTCTCGATTTTGATTGGTTAAAGTAACAAGTGACAATCGTAATGTGGTTGGCCTTAGACAGCATCGTGTAATGTTTCTATTTTGCAAATCACCTTTCATTTATAATTAAAAAATGTTAGACATGTTAAAATTTACATGAATCTAATAAAACTCATTTTTCAAAAAATTTGCAAATGGGCCTTTTTAATATGAAAACCCCATATTATATATATAGTCTATTTTGATAGAACGATAAAACACCCAATGATAACAATAACAGACTTAAATAATAACTTTATCTAAACTTTTAACTTCTAACTTGAATCCATGAGTATTAAATCCTTCTCGTACGTCCTATTGCAATGAAGTATTGATAATTTATATGTTATTTGTTTGGCCAGGAAGACCATTTACCTCTTATAATTAACAGACACAAATAATAAACCAAATAACATATGGAATTGTTACCTTAACTTTGCCGGGAGTTGAAATAACTACAACATTTGAAGTTTCAGGCATAAATAATTTCGTTATATACTTCGTTAGCATAATGTAAAGTTCTTCGTATTTCACAGCCTAAATTTGATTGATATAAACAAAATTTTATTTCATGTATACATTGTGCAATAAACAAAAAGATAGTACTCGTACCTGAACTTTTGAAATCAATTCTTTATTAAAATCAGAACTCAAATGATTTAAAACTTGTAAAACAAACGATTCTGTAGCCTAAACATTTTATAATGATTTTTAAAGCAGTCAAATTTACAAACGAATAAAATTCCTTAATTATATATAATAATCAAAAATTAGAATAATATAGTTGAAGAAATAATTTAAACTGCTGTATACCGCTTTTTGAATATTATCCTGTGATTTGACATTGCCAAATTAGTCCAAAAAATATAATAATGAAAAATAACAAACGATTAAATTGTTTATTACCTCATTACTGACAAGACTATAAATGACCCCACTTTTTGCACCTTCTAATTCACACTTATCAAACTCAACCTACATATGATTTAAATATTAATAATGGAAAACAGTAAAGATAATGCAGAATATCGCCATAACATCCATTCAAATAAAAATAAAACTAACCTTCTTAGAAGATAAATCATTTACAATTTTCTTAGCTTGTTCATATACTTTATATGCGTCAGGTGACTTGTATATGGTAAAATAAATTAAACCTTCAAATAATAAATTGATAAATAGTCAAACAATAATTCATTGAAAACGAATACATAATTAAAATTATCAGATGACAAACCTGATTCCACACTAACTTTAAGCCAAACACTATAAGCTAATCCCTGACCACGGATTACTCTCCAAAATACACCTTCCATCGTGTGCAAAAGCTCACATAGTACAAGTAAGGGAGCCAAATCCGGTGAATCAAATGTATTCGGACCTTAAAACATAAAGTGTGAAATTATTAAATAAGTAATTATCATCAAATATTTCATTTGACGTCACGTTAATAATAAATGGTAGACCACCTTTTGTTGCGTGAATAGCAAAATTATTTTCAATAGCAGGAAGCTTAACAATGAATCCCTAATGTAAACATGAATGTAATGTCAATTAACCTTAATATAAACCACGATGCAAATATAATATCGTGAAACGTGCCTTGTTACCAGGATTACGTCCCGATTCAGTCAAGACATTTTGTGGCAAGGGAATAGGCGACAAAGGTTTTGTACTCTAAAATGAATCATAAAATATATAACAATATGAGACATAAATATGGTGATAACTTAATAGTGTTGTTCAGTTAAAATGTGATATCTACTTACCGGAATAGTTCTAAAATTTTCTGCCCATGTACTTTTAGGATTTTTTAATTGCATAATATTTCCACTCACATGAATTCTGAAATTTTCTGGAGAAATCACTGTATAAACAGAACCAAATTTGAACAAATTTATGAATATATAAGAAATTTCAGAAATTTGAAAAATAAAATAACATAAACATACAAATCTCTTTAAGCTTTATAAACATTTCAATAACTTTTGTTGGATTTTTTTCCAATAATTTAATGGCTTCGGGTAAAACTTTCTCTTGATTCAAGGTGCACAATACGTACTTATTTGAATGTAAGCGATCATAATGAATTATTTGTAACACATTCCGTGCCATCTTTAGTTTGTTATTTTCGGGTTTGAATTTTTTTTTTTTGAAAGACAAGTTTATGTTAAATTCAACAAGTTTAGATTGTCTCAGTATGTTAAATGTCAGGACACATACATCATATCCTTCACGCTTAGCTTGTGGAATATCATTTAGTAGTTTTGAAGCACAAATTTTAAGCCTAGGAAGAAATAGGAAAAAAATGAGTAATGAACAAAATAAATGTTGCGACTGATGCTGAAATTTGGGGTCTCTATTTGAAAATATAAGCCCTGCTAAAATCCACATATACACTTTATTTTGCAAAATTCCAACCCAACCATAAAAAAAATGCGGAGAAATACATCCCCCAAAATTTGTAAAATTTCTTATCAAAATAGATCCAAATTTCAGCTTCAGTCGTAACAATAATTTATCGTGAAAATATTTCTTTAAAATCACCTTTCGACAGTAAATTCTGTATTCCACAACAAATCACGTAACCACTGAATTCCGGTTGCATATTTGGCAGCCTAGTAAATTAATTTTCAATGGAATGGGTTATTTTTTTTAAAAAGAAACTCTTCATTACCCTATGAAAACTAGAAAGCTAATTTTTGACATACTTCAACTTTGACAGAGAAACAAATCATCCCTTCATATCCTTTAATTCCTAGATTATGTTCATAGCTAACGGTATCTTTGTTCAGTTCATTAACCACTTGTTCAAATGTTAAATGTTCACCATTAGGTCTATTCAATGGCAAGCTATAAAATGATTCGAGATAAATTTCCAGGTATGGGCGAAGGTCGATGGGAATAGATTCTGTGGTGATATAGACGGAAATAGTTATGAATGCAGAATTGATATCTAAAGTCAATAATGAGTTAATTATATAATTAATGTATAAACATAAATGAATATAATAAATATAATGTTTTGAGATTATCTAAAAGGATACGATCGAATTGAATGAAGTATGGTATATCTGCCAAGTCGTCCCGATCAAGATAATCTTGAACGATATTTTTGCTGAATATAAAGTGATAAGACAATAATCAACTAAATTATAATAATCATAAGGACGCTACATAATTTATATAAAATATTACTTACAATTTTCCTTCCGACTTATTTCTACCAGTAATAACCTTTATAAATGTTATACTTTCAACACTTGGAACTGGAAAATTTTCTAAAAAAAAGGGCATATAATCCGTTAGCTTGATTATTTTATGGAAAATTTTTAGCAAGTAAATATTTTTACCAATAATTTGAGGTGGAATAGGCTGATTATTTAATGTTTGTGCATCTTCTAATTTTTTTTCTAAATCCTTTAATCTTTCAGGACCTAACGTTTCACGTTGTTTTTCGACACGTTTAAGTTCATCATTTAAAAGTTTCTCTGCAAATTTTGCAGAAGGACATCCCAATAACGCAATATTAGGATTGTCAATATGATATCTATCAACATATCAAGATAAATGCATTATATGAATTAATTATAATATCACTTTTTATTATATTAATTTAAGGCTAACGTAAAACTTTTATCTCATACAGACTTTTTCAAATATTCAATCCATTGCTTCTCTGAAAAATTTGCAAGTTGGTCATAATAACTTAGATCTTTAACGGCCCTTTCAAGGTCTTCACAAGTTTCTTTACCATATACATGGTCTAAATTTTAAAATAAATTAGTTATTGAGTCATTAAATTATGATATTTGTCGTCTTGTAATATATAAACAAATAAAGAATTGACATATGGATGTACGCAATGTAAAAGACAACATACCTACAATACAAAGTTGAGAAAATGAATCATGCGGATTTACTTCAATTTCATTTAAAGTCTGTTGCATTAGAAAACAAAATAAATATTATATTATTTTAAAGTTCATAAAATAATGAGTCATATACACCAACCTTTAATCTATCACGTTGAATTACAGTTTTCATACGCTCCATATCAATTCCTTCTTCATTAACAATTCTTTTAAATACATCAAATAAATTAGTAATAAGATCTTTCAATTCTTCCGTTGGAACATTTTCAAAAGTTGCCAAGATTGCTGTCCGAGTTTGCTCGAGAATAGAGATATCAATGTCTAATATCAAGATGCAATTATATTCACAAATATATAACCATTATTAAACAATTTGAAATATGATAATTAATATCACCTGTACATAATGGCTCTTCGATTTCAACAAATTCTTTTTGTAGTACCGAAACTGCAGAATCTGATAGATATCTAAATGGAAAACATAATTTTTAGATTTAAAATTTATTTTTTAATTCAAAGTTCAATCATTTGTATTATTTGTCATAAGAATTAAACAAGAATTTATACTGGAAATATTAATACTTGCTCGTATAAAACTTCCAAAGCTCTAATATCCAAAAATTCCTAAATTCATAAAGCAGGGATTTAGCTTCACAAAATTAAAGTTTATGAAAGATACATTCATGTTTCAAAGTAATCACATCAATCGTGGGACCAAGCCAAGCAATCACAACTTGACCCATACTCTCATCTTCATCTGGAAATTCAACAATCTCCTGAATAGATTTTTCAAGTAATGGAATTGGTGTAGAATCAACAAATGGCCTAGTAGTTGATGTATTAGACTCAGTTAAGACTCTATAATTGCTTATTTAATGCCCCAGCTGATGCTGATTTTGGAGTTTCTATTTGAAATACGACCTCATTTAAAATCTAACTAACCCCTTTTATTAAAACCACTAATCCTAATCTAACTTCAAAAAATTCACATTCAGAGATTCTTAAATCTCATTAAAATAGATCTAAATTTTGGCGCCAACCAATCCCAGCATCAGAAGTAATATTTAATGTATAGAGATTATAATTCAATACCGTTTACGAGGAGGTAAACCTCCTTTAGATGCAATTCTATCATCCAACGGATCAAGAACTTTAAATAATTCGGAATGTGAAATTTTACCAGTGATAATTAGACATAAATTATCAGGCCTATAATAATCTTTATGATACTAATAATTATTGAAGCTGTGTATTAGTATTTATACCATAAATAATAATGATAATTAGAAACTCACTTGACGAACTGTAGTTATATTAATGATATTTGTTCATTAGAAAATTACTATATTCAAGTTAATATAGAAAATAATATAATAAACCATACTTTTCTCAACGCCAAGTTGTCTAAGACATTCCATTAAGCCACCAGTTTCACTACGATACCCACATCCTTCCGGATACATTAATCGTTGATACCTAAACGTAATTCATTAGTGAGATAGATAAAATTAAGATATAGTGTACTAGACAATATGCAATGAAATTAAGCTTACTGTAATATAACACGAGATTCACACGTATTTTGACGACCCTATTATAAATAATTGTCAATATAGGATATAAACATATAGTATGAAACCTGGATTGTAATTTACCTGCATCTCACTATATACCACCTTAATATAATATAATAAAAAATTCAATTCATAAAATACTTTAAGTCAGAAAACAGGGTAGATTTAGAGTAAAATTGTTGATGAAATTCTCCAAATTAGAATAAGACATATGACACACTCTGAGTAACAGAAGCTATATATTTTACATTATCTTAAGTTCTCATCTAACAACTCTAATTTGGAGTGCATTTGTGTTGTTTTAAAATTCGAAATTGAATAATTCTAAAATCAAACCACCCCATAATAAGTTTAAAATAAAGAGAATATACCCCTAAAAAAGTAAACCGAAATTAAATCAAAACATGCAACTATAAGATGTAGGAATGCATTTATATGTAAATACAGACCAGCATCTTCACCCTTTCCGTTTATGTGATGGACCTATATATGCACAAATTCATTTATATACTATTATGGATATTCACAAACTAGAAGTTTATCATTAGAAAAATAATAATAGACCTCGGTATAGTGACCACTTTCCGTCAAAGTAGGATATAGAATATGATCCACAAAAATAGGTAACAATTGCAGAAATCCTTCACTACCAGCTGTCGTGATAGTGTAACATGTGTGATCCGTTTCAGTCCAACTAAAAATCATTAGAAAAGATTATATAAAATTTATACTAGCATAAATATTGATTACATAAAGGTATATTATATTAATTAAACAATTTACGCATTGGTTCCTTGGGCAAATGCGCGATTTGCCAAAGTGTCTAATACACCCTAAGTAAATATGCACATAAATTAATAAGATTGTAAAATTTGATAAATATAAAACATTTTACCTTGTACGGATACAATTCACTACCGAGAAAGACTAAACTAAATCAAAAAATTGAGTTCATTGAACCTAAAGCTTTTCGAAATCTACAACAATTTTCACACAATATAAACTTACTGTTCCAAAGTGTGAGGGCATCCATCATCATCCGTGGCTAGAATTTGTAGATACAATTGGGCCAATTTTAATGATAATTAAATGCATATATATTGAATGAATTATACGAACCTTCAGTTGGGATTGCAAAGTATCCTCCGACCAGAGGAGCTATTAGCAGTATGAAATTAGAAACCTTGCATTAATATGAACATTATGAATTTATTTGATAAATTTCCAACCTTCAACATCGACAAGAATAGCTGATAATCCAGTTCTATTAGATTTACATTTCATAACATTGATTCCAAATTTTGTTTCAATAGTACGAATTATTTTAAAGTTTGACATTTTTACCAACTGATCTCGGAAAAAAGCGTCACATTGGGATCTTATTTCTATTTACGATGATCACCAAATCCGAATACTTAATTTGGAGATGCAAAAGTATCATTTTTGATACTCTCTTTTTTTTTTAAAAAAAAAAATACAGATTATGTCAAAATTTTAAAAGGCACATAATATTTATGTAGTACGTCTGAACAGAATTCCAAATGTAGCCCAAGTTGATACGAAACTTAAAGCAAGTTGATTCTAAATTTGATACTATAATAATCGATAAATCTTAAGTTGATTTTAAATTTGACATTATGATTGATGTAACAAAGTTAAATAAATTACATCACATCGTCAAGATAAAATAAGAACCTTTTCCTAATTTCTTTTTCTTATTTCACTTTTTCATTTTTTTGCAAAATTCTATCCGATAACTGAATATCAAGAGACTATCCATTTTTATCATAATGCATTCGAAGAATTGCTTTCCAAGTATCATAGCAACAAATCGGCAATGTTTTAAAGTTAATTAATGAATTAATCCTATCTTAAAGCGACTTACATTTCAAAACAACGTACTCTATGAAACAATTTGGAAAACATTTAATTTCATTGTAAGTTGAATTGGAATTTTTTAACGACTTGGGCACATTTTAGAATTCTAATTACAACCTCTGTTTATTTGGATCAACCGAGATTCTTTCTAAATCTACAATAATTCCATTCCGACATACAACATTATAATAAAGAATACAGTGGTAATCATAAATAATGCAACAAAAAAAAATTTTTAGTCAGACCGTATTATCTTTCGCAATTCCGGGCATATTTGTTTATTTTTTTTTTTTTTTATTCGTGAATAGTAATATTTTCATCAATAAAAAAACTTTTAAAAAAATAATGAATAAAATTTTTCGCGGACACGAGCTCTATTTCAATTCACGTGTTGCATTACTTTTGCTCGTTTTTACAGCAACACAATCATAAAACAAAAAAAATTTTTTTTTGCTATCTAATAATTTTCGGTCTTCGCCATCTGGTGTAGCCGCCTCGGGCTCTAATTACATCACGAATTCGTCCTGGCATTGAACGAACAGTCTTGTGCAGGTTTCAACATCGATTGCATGCCAAACTACCTGGATCTTTTTCCAAAGGTCTTTCTTACTTGAAATTTGATTAGGGAGATCCTGAGATGATGATCAACTTCACATCATAGGTGTTTAATGAGATTAGAGTCAAAGATTGGTAGGTCAATCAAAGAACCAGTGCTTGTTTCTTTTAAGTCAACATTTCCTTAAGGTTGTTATATGATAAGATGCATTGTATTGTCGGAATGTGATTTTCTTAATATCAAAATTGTGATTCCTAATAGTTCACATTAAATCTTTACAAAGTATTTTCTAGTATAACTTGTTATCTATTATGTTATCAACCTTACAATAGTTACAAAAACTACAAAAGAAAAAGTAATCTTAAATTATAATTGATCTATTGTCAAATTTTACTGTAAATTTAATATGAAATTGGTTTAATAGTTCTTTATAATGTTTTTAATAATATTGTTTTTCATCTGATCCAAAAATTTAAAATTATAGCTTATCAAATCAAATTACCTTAGACTAGTTTTTGATGATCCAATTTCATTATTTCTTTACAAATTTGAGCATTGTTTTCAATAACTATCATTTAAGTAGAGGTTTTTTCTTATTTCTAATACTAAATTATAATTATAAAGTATGTAACAAATAGTTACTATTGAAATTTTTATATTTTTATTTACTTTGAAGTGTTCTTATTTTAATAGCAATAGAATATTAGTAGAAGATAATAGAATTTATTATTTTTCTCTGAGTTGGTTTATCTAATAAAATTAGATGATTAACTTTTTTTAAATCTTCAAGAGAGTAGTTTGCTAACTATTTTTTTGATACACAAAACTATAAAATAACTAATATTATAAATTTAATCTATAACTCTTATAATATACTCTTTTTAAAATAAAAATAATATTTAAGCTTGTTGGACAAATATTATTCGATTCTTTTTTTTGTTTCTTAATTATTAATAAATATTAATATTATACAAAATACAAAATCAATAAAAAATTTATATATTTATATTTATTTATATAGTATAAATTGCACTGCCTGCTTTTTGTTAAAAATAATCAAAAATAATATAATATATATTTCATGATACACATATGATTATTTTTGTTTTGGCAAAGTTAATGTCTATTTAAATTTTAAAATTCAAAAAAAATGTTATTTGCATATAAAAAAAAATAGATATATATGTTTGAAATTGTACAAGATAATATAATTCAACTAACATTTTTTTTATTACATTATTTATAATTGCTATTATAAAATATATTAATAAAAACTAAAAAAATACTGTTATATTATTTTTTAAATTTATTTTGTATATAAATTTTTGATATGTACTATTATAGCTATAATATTGAACATAATATTTTTTTTTTAAAGTAACCTTTTTAGTCTTTTGATTTTTATAAATGACTTTTTTGGTAATATAATTTTATAAACTACTACAGAAGAAAGTACAATTGGCTACATGTGTAATTTTCTATATTAGCTATTTAAGAAGTTTATCTGAAGGTTTCTTACCAATTGCTATACCTAACACCTCTACTTGAGTATTTTATTTAAACCCTTTGAACCTGTAACCTGTGTTAACTTACTGGGTTATATACAGATATCCAGATTATTATCTTAACTTTAAGACTAATTTATTCTCAAAATAAACCTTTTAGAGCCTTCTATATTCATTTTTACAACTAATTTAGATATCATTATAATAGAACTAATACTTGTGATCAGAATTATATTATTTAACCACTGTGCTCTTGTAGAGTTTATACAGACTCTAGCATCTATTTCATAGCATAACTATAGTACTTTAGTATATTTCTGTCTTTTTATTTGTTTTTTTTATCAGACTTCTAATTTAGATAATCTGTATAAGACTATAATTAGTCTATCAGTATATCAGATTAGCCCAATATCCTTTTTCTTTAATTTATTTTAGTGGCCTGATTGGTTGTATTTCTGAGACTTTTAACTCAAAGATTCTTGCCTATTCAACTACTATGACTAGGTACTATAATCCTGGTATTCATTTTCTCAGACTAGCCTTTACAGTAGAATTATTGAAAATCTGGCTATCTCTCTATTTAGGTCTTCCACAATTTGTAAAAGAAAAGTAAGGTCTGATATTCTTAAGTCTGCAGAATTTTGAATCAGTTATTTATGTAAAATAATATAGTCATTTGATAGTCTTATAAATAAGTAAACTATTTGCAAAAGTCTAACATGCTTTTTAAAGTCTTCTTGGTTCTTAGCTAAGAAAGAAAAATTTTCTTTTAGTCTGAGAATTAAGTCTTGTGAAATGAAAAGTAGTAGGCTTTTTAATGCTAGTAGCTCAAAATAACTAAAATAAATTTGTTAAAAAATATAAAACTTTTGCAGGGTTTTTCTGTATTAAGCCAAGTTTTGCAAATTTGCTCTGCTTATAATAAGAAATATATTACATATGCAAAAAAAAAATCTGTGCCCAGTATAGGATAGTCAAATGATTTTTTCTGTATAACATTTACTAAATCTCTACTGTGTAACAATTTTTAAATAATATTTGATATATAACTTTACTTCAAAGTTTATTTTTTTTCTATTAAAATTTTTAAACTCTAAATAGTTATACTTTTATATTATGTTTAATATTGCTAACTAGTTATATTTTTTAAGGCTTCACTAACTTGTTTAGATATTTAGTATTAACAAATAAAAATTGTATTTTTTTTAAATATCAACTTTTATATTATATAAGATTTTTTATCTAGTAAAGCTTGTGCAAAAATACCATTTTTGATAGATTATTAGTACTGTTCCTGATAGGATAAAAAACAAATATTGATTTATATACTGTTTCTAATATGTTTCTAAAAAAAGAAACTTTAAAATGCTAACTATTATAGTAAAGAAATATAAAAAAAGTTAAAATTGGAGTTTATTTTCAAACCTTATTAAAAACAATACTTAAATGAAGTTTTTTTTTAACTCAATCAAGATCAGTATTAATGATTTTTTGGAAATAGGATTTTTGCAAAGCTTATATATAGCATAAATATTATACTTGTCATAAAGTTATACGATTTAATACTGCTATTATAATAGCTTATAAAATAATATTTCTTTATTAATAATACTTAGAAAAAGTAAGATGACCCATTCAACAACCTTGCTGATCAACTTGCTCATAATCACCAAATATTACTTTACCTAACATTCTTAACTAACAACCCTTACAACCTCAACTATACCTCTTTTATCGATGAATTCTCTATCAAAATTCCTATTTGATGCTCTATTCAAACCATATACCAAGTCTACATTATATCATTCTGGACATCTCAACACTATTTTCAACAATAGTCTATCACTGCATTTGACATTAACTGGGAAGCTACATGGCTATATATCAACAACAATCAAAAAATTTCTAATTTTGCTCACAGCTTTTATTCATCTACTTTGAAAACTTTTTGAGTTAAAATTCTTACAGATGAACTTCCTGTTCCTCATACTCTTCATAAACGTAACTCTTCATTTTCTTCTTTCTGTTAACAATGCAACCAAACCAGCTCCTTACTTTATTGTGCTATCTGCCCATCAACTCAAACAATTTATTACTTAATCTCTAATTCTCTTAAGAACATCTTAAATACAACTAATCTTGATATGTCTGTTAATCTGGTTTTTGATTTACACACTGAAATTCTTACACTTAACAGTTTCAAACTGTATAACTCCTCACATATACCTTCACTTATTTCTACTCTATTTGGTCTAGTTCCCATTGACCTTATTTCTACTATTCACAATTCTTCTATTTTTTATCATACTGCTACTACTCTTTCTATCAAACTTTTTCTTTACTTAAACCAACAAATTTACAAACAAATATGGATTTCATACTATATTTCATGTTTTGCACAGTCTCAAACCACACTTTCTACTAACTTAACTTATAGTCACTTCTCTAACCCACCTCTACCTTCTATTTCAATATCACAAATTATTACTAAAATTGATTTTTGGACTATCCAATGGATTAAATACATACCTCTCTCTCTTATATTATTACTCAAACCCAAATCTAGGTGAGCCTTGGCCACTCTTGTAGGTTTAGGTCACAGATTATATGTCTGAGTCTTTATTCTTCATATGTAATTTAAAAGCAAGCTTTTCATTGTAAAAACTTCAATTGAATTTCAATAAAGTTAAAGGCATAGCCTCACTGTTAATATTTAAAAAAAAAAAAAATTATACAACTATTGCATCAGCATATACTGAACCTACACCTAAAATTCAATAGAAATTCCAATCCAGAAATCAATATCAACCTAGAACCCAATTTTAATCTAGAAACTAGTACCAGAAACCTTTGATTACTTGCTATAACTGAAAAAAAGAGACACTATTCTCAAGATTGTTTAGCTGAAAAACAACCTACTATAAGTCAATATAAGCAAATGACTCAGGATAATAAAAAGAAAAATATCAACTATATTGAAATAAAGAATAATGATGTTGATGAAGTATACATTATCAGAACACCAAGAAATTAATCCTATTTTACTAACAGAAAACAGGCTAAGTTTTCAAACAAAAATTCTGAATTCCAAAGAGAATTTAAACTTAGAAACAGAACTGTCATGTTAGATGAACCTGACACTCAAATGGATAAAATTCCTGTGAAAATCTCTATTGAAGTGCCTGTTACAAAAGAGATCAAACCAAAACCTAAATTTAAAACTTATCTCTCTATAATTGAACAAGTTGAACTATATGATGTCTCAACTGATATCCTGAATATGAAATCCTCTGATACTATTGGACAATGGTTACAACTTTCTGCACAGCATAAAAGTCTTGCAAAAATTTTACAAAAAAAAAAGGAACCTATTATTGATGTAAACCAAGCTAAAACTAATTATCCCAAAAAAACTACAGCAATAAGATGTCATATTCAAATTAAAGGAAACCCTGTTGTTGCTATTCTTGATTTAGGAGCAGCTATAAGCATAATCACAAACAAGCTTATGAGAAAATTAGGACTTCAAATCCAAAAACTCTTCAAAACTATTGTGATCACTGCCAATAAAAATCATATCAAAACCTTAGGAATTATTCCTGATGTGAAGATTACTATTCAGGATATTATTATTCCTATTAACCTCCAAGTAATTGAATCCATGGATGAAACTTATCTCCTTGGAACAGATTGGTTCAACAAATCAAAAGCCAAGTTGGATTTTAAAAACAATACTTTAAATATTTAATACTTGGGAAAGAAAGCTACTACCAATGCTACTCATACTATCAACTTTTACTTTATCTTAAAAGAAGTAGATGAGAACAAAGAGGATCAATAGATTAATAAACTAGATGAAGAAGAAGAAATGAAAACCTATTATTTAGAAGAATAGCCTTCTGTAATTAATAAAATGTATTACAATCTCTGGTCAGAAATAGAAGCTACTCCTGTCTTTTACCTAATTCAACTGTTAGAAGAAAAGATCTATTCTGTGAAAAACCCAAACCTAAATATAAATCTTGAACTTACCTGAGACTAACATGTTCAAGGCAAACAATTCTTAATGAAAAATATTGATATTTTCTCAAAAAATATTCTAGAAGATGGACAGTTCAAAGAATTAGAACAAACTAATGTTATTTGCCATAAAATTAATATAAATAGCTACAACTTTATTAAACAAAGAGTCTATCAATACCCTTCTAATGAACAAGACTTTCTGCAAAAAGAAATTCAAGTAATGTTAGAAAAAGGAATTATTAGAGAATCCTTTGGACCCTAGTCTTTTTCTGTTGTACTTGTGCCAAAGAAGGATGGCTAAAAAAAACTTTGCATTGACTATAGAAAACTCAATGCTATCACTGAAAAAGATGTATACCTACTACCAACCATCCAGAAAATCTTAAATTCATTCAATAAAGCCTCTTGGTTCACTAGTTTAGATTTAGCCAGTAGATATTGGCAAGTCACTATGAAGAAAGAAGATAAAAAAAGACTGCCTTTATTACAAAATAGGAAATATATGAGTTCAATGTCATGCCTTTTGAACTTACCAATGCACCTGCAACTTTTCAAAGATTAATAAATAAAATACTTTGCCTCTTTATCAATGAATTTGTAGTAGTATATCTAGATGATATTACTATTTACTCCAAAACTTTTCAAGAATATTTGGACCATGTTCAACAAGTTATAAATGTTCTCAAAGAAGCCAACTTAAAATTAAACTTGGCAAAATGTTATTTCTTTCTAAATAACATCAAGTTTCTAAGACATATCATTGGAAAAGATAGAATTAAAACAGATAAAAGACTGGTAGACAAAATTAAAAATTTTTCAAAACCTACTAATT